AAGAGGAGAATAGAGAAGGGAGAAAGGGGAAAAGCTTGGAATTATCAAGAACAACTCCTAGCTTTCGATTTAATCAAGGTAAGGGTGTGAGATGTTGTTATTCTATCAATGTTTATGATTATGTATGATTGGTTTGGATTGTTTGGATGTTTTCTCCATTTTCCATTCTAGGGCATAATTGAGTTTAATCGGTTGAATCAAGGTTTTAACGGTTGGAATCCGAAATAAGTGGTGTAGATTAGTCGAGGATTGTTAGACTAAGAGTACTGGAACTCATTGGAATTGAATCAGGTGATTTTGGGAGTTTTGGAGAGTTTTGGACAGTGAGGGTTTTGAACATCGCAGACGTTCGCTAGCAGCTTCGCTAGGCGAACAGGTCGCGAGTGTTCGCTAGCAACTCGCTAAGCGAGCAAGCTAGCGAGTGATCCCAGACTTGGACAGAATGTATTTGGTCTTGTTCGCTGGTAGCGAGTGAGGTAGCGAAGGATTCGCTAGGACCTCGCTGCAGCGAGTAGGTAGCGAACGAAGTCAGTAGCTTCTGTTTGCCTTCACAAGCTTGTTCGCTAGGCGAACAGGTAGCGAGTATTCTCTAGGGACTCGCTAGGCGAGCAAGCCAGCAAGCATGATAGTATTTCATTTTCTTTGTGATTCCATCCGATTTTGATTGTTTGGTTCGATTATGTTCGATCCTTATCAGAATGAATAGTTGTGTACTATAGTGTGATATGTTGTGGGTAGCCGTATGGCGTGAATCCTAGATTGTGGAATCGATTATGAATGTGGTCTTTCGATAATATATGCATTGTTTAAATTGATTAAAAGTGCATGATGATTGTGATTGAGTTCGTTGCCGTTGGCACGATGTTATTAATAATGCATGAGAACATATTGTGAATATGTGTGCATTGCTTGTAATTGTATGTGGATAATGCATGAGAACATATTGTGAATATGTGTGCATTGCTTGACAAATATGGTGATGATGATTTAAAGTGTGAATACTTTGATTATGTGAAATATGTTGTGTGTGCAATCATGTTATAATTTTTATGTGATGAATTATTGAGAATGCATGAGATTAAGATGCGAGAATGGTCTTAAGTGCATTTGGTTGTTGATTGCATATGTATCATTTAGTCAAGAGGCAATGCTTGCTAATTTCGTGGAGACTAGTGACTTGTCCCAAACCTAGAAGAGTGGGTTTTAAAGCTTAGAGGACGGACTTTTGTTGTTATCGGTCTAGAGGACGGACCCAGTTTAAATGTAAAAACCGAAAAATGATAACAAGTGTTGGTACCACATGGCATGAGTTGCATTGAGTCATATGGCATAGAGATAAATGTTGTGTGAATGTATTCATATGTGTATGTTATGTGAATTGATGAGAACTATGGATGTGTGTATGATAAATATGCTTGATGGTCATTCCATATTTGTTTATATATACATATGTTGTAATCTATATGATGGTGATAATCATTGGTGGTGAGAAATGCGGAATGTGTGTATTCAATGCTTGTGTGTGTGTGTGTGTGTGTATATATATATATATATATATATATATATATATATATATATATATATATATATATATATATATATATCCATTGATTATTATGATAATATTTCTCACCCTTCTACTGTTTTATAATGCTCTATGAGGCATTGCAGATTAGCTTTGATGGAAGTCTTTTGTGAAGTATAGCTTCATTCTTTTGGTCGGTTAAGCTCTGATATGTAGCACCGGGTAGTTAGGAGTGTATAGCATTCTTTTGAGATACATTTGTATATGTATCTGATGACAAGTGTTTATGTAAACATAAATGATGTGGTGAATCAAACTGAATGATATGTATTTATATGATTAGCATGTTTAAAGTGATTAAATGTTTAGATTTTCCGCTTTTTATTCTAAATATTGAGATGTGGGTGTAAGGACTAAGTTCCTCTGTTGAAGCTACCCCACTGTTGCATATCTCTATTGAGCAGGTGTTGTATGTTTTATTTCATGTATTGTGTGACATGCTCCTTTTATACCATGTTTTCAATTATACTCTGATGAAATTTTATTATGTGCTTAAGTGATTTATTGTTTATTTGGGGGTATAGAAGGGGGTGTTACAAAGGGCACAGTTAGCAATCGTTGCCATAAAAAAAGAGTTACGCTCCAAAAATGTCTCCAAAAATATTTTAGACAATGATTATCAAGGGTTGCAAATATATTTTTGTCAACAGCCATAAATTGTTGCCTATACAAATTTTAGGCAACAATTTTAACATGTTACCTAAAAAAGTATTATCAAAGACAACAAATGTTGTAGTGTATGTGAGGTTTTTGAAAGTGAAATCAAAATGGAGGAAATAAGGAGTGATGGAGGCGGATGGAGTATGTCACATTTTGCCTCTTGTGAAAAAATATATTAAATATAAATTATTTAAGAAAACATGAGTTCAAAAAATACGAAAAACAATTTTTAAAAAATATGAAATAAAATTTTAAAAAAAGTTTTTAAAAAATTAAAATTCACATGAAATTAAAAACTAATTTAAAATACACGTGGAATTAAAAAAATAAAATGACACTTGGCTTGCCAAGCCAGCACAAATGTGACCCATGGTCTTTATTGGGGGAATCTGGATTGGGTAATGGGGATCACACAAAAAATTTCTTATAGGGGTGAAATTAAAACTCGCTACATTGACAGGGGGTAACATATATTTAACCCTTTTTATAAAGCAAGGGAAACTGAAGATACATGAAGGGGTAAGTTATGTTTCTTGAATAAGAGTAAACCATTTTGCCATGGTTGAAAAATCCAACAGTGATAAAATCATATTTATTTATTATAATTTGAGCAAAATGTCATTTTTTCAACAATTTAAAAATAAAAGGGCTAATATTTTACCATGTTTGAAAATTCCAACTGTGGAAAAAAGTGGATTGTGTTTAGTTTAAAAATTAATTAAAAAGAAATGTGTCACTATAATATTAAATAAATCACAAATTTTTAGGTGATGTGATTCTAACAAATGAATATTACAAGATTTCCCCAAGATCGTTATATTCATCCGTGGTAAAAAAAATGAAGGTTAAAAATAAAAAAATGAAGGCGCCTAATTTGTGGTGAACAAGTTGAAGATTGAGGAGGATAACTCGCGGCCTAGATACAAGGCGAGATTATTCGTGAAAGGCTTCAGTCAAAAGAAAGGCATTGAGTTTGAAGATGTTTTTTTTACCTATGGCAAAGATGTCATCAATTCGGGTAATGTTTGGTTTGGTGACATGTTTGAATCTAGATGTGGAACAACTAGAAGTGAAGACTGCATTTCTTCATGGCAATTTTGAAGTAGAAATTTACATGGAGAAGGCATAAGGATTCAATTTAAAAGCAAACAAAATTTAAAATGTCAGCTAAAAAAGAGTTTGTATGGATTTAAGTAGACACTGTGTCAATGGTACAAGAAATTTGATTCCTTTATGATTGATCATGGATACTGAAGGACTAATTATGATTACGTGTGTTTGGAAAAATATTTGATGATGGTAAGTTCACCACACTACTCTTGCATGTTGATGATATGTTGATTATAGGATAAAATATTAAGCAGATTGGCAAGTTGAAGAATGAAATAAAGAAGTATTTTACAATGAAAGACCTGGGACAAGCGACACATATTCTTGGTATGTCCGTCCATCGTGATTGACAGGAAAGCAAGTCGTGGTTATCACAAGAAAAATATATCGAGAAGGTATTGGAGTGATTTCATATGAAAAAGGAAAAATCGGTTGCTACATAGATACAAATATGGCGAGAGATATTTGTTATAGGAAATCAACTTCTAGGTTATTGATTACATTTTTCAAAGGGAGTTGTATCGTGGTAGTCGAGGCTACAAAAATGTGTTTCTTTGTCTCCCATTGAGGCAGAATTCATTGCAACAACATAAGCTTAAGAACTATCATGTATGAAGCGGTTCTAACATGAATTAGGGCAAGAACAATAGAAATACAACGTGCATTATGATAGTAAGAGTGTAATCCACTTGAGTATGACTTCAAGTTTTCATTCGAGGTCAAAACATATTGATGTGAGATATCACATGATTTGTGATGTGTTGGATACCAAGAAATTACAGCTTGAGTAAACTCATATTGATGACAATTATTCAGATATGATGACTAAGTCCTTACCAAAGGACAAAAAGGAATTTTGTAGAAGAATTGTTGGATCGTTGGAGCTCTCCACCTAAATCAGGAGGTGGAGATTTATAGGTTTTCTTTTTAGGAGAGAAAAGTAAGGAGTAAACACTATAATAAATAGTAAACAAAATTAAAGTATGAGAAATTTTAGCAAACTAATGAAAAGAAAAAGAGAAAACTTCTTTTTATATTATAGTCACTTATGTGTTGCATGCATTAGCTATAAATGTATCATTTGTTTCATTTCTATAATCATCAAAGAGAAAGTCTTCTGAGAGAAAACTCAAAAGAGTGTTTAACCATTATTTGTGTTGGTGAGATTGTAATAATCATATTTGTATTCTCATTTATAAAGAAGATATTGTGGTTGTTCCATTGTTAATATTGTTATTATTATAGTGTGAAAAAGTATGATCCAGTGATAATCATTTATTGGCCTTCTATTAAGTGTTTTAATTGATACCTTTTCAAACTCTCACACTCTCTCTTGTCGAAGTAGTTCAATTCTAAAATCATGGAAAATAGACATAAACATACACACTATGCTAATTTTAAAATCAACTTATCTAAAATCACCTAATACTTAAAATTAAAATGTACCTATTTGAGAAAAAAAATCAAAATTCCTTTTCTAAGTATATATTTAGAACCACAATAAATTTAACTAAATTCCAATGACAATGCAATTCTATTAAAATGTTGAAATATAAACTCATAGTTATTCATTTCGATTCAACCAAACTCAATGTCAATTTCAACATACACAAACCAAAATAAAATTTGAGTAAAAATATCAAAATTAAACATTTGAGAAAGAAATCCTACCAAAATCTAAATGACCAATTTGATACAACTCATGCCAAACCTTTTCAGCTTCAAATCCAACATTAACATGGACATTATCCATTGGTGATGCTGGCCACCCTACATTTAAATCATTTTCTTTTTCTCCTTCTAACACAACATCATCAACATCTTTAGGTCCCCTTTTGCACTTCTTATGACAACATTTCTTCTTCTTATTCTTGTTCTTCCTCCCTAATCCCAAACATTTTCTTCCCATAATCCAAGGTGCCTTTATAAAGGCCAAAGCAAAACAATGTAACACAACACAAGGACAACAACATAATGCAACACAATCAGCTACTAATCCTGATGTGCATGATTTGCAATATTTACCAGAACACTCTATCAAATCAGCTTCGCCATCCGCGGAGTCAAATCTCTTGTTATGTCTTGTAATTTTGCTACTTGAAATTCTGTTTGGATTCTCATCCATGAGACTTTCTTCTTCTTTATCTTTCTGCAAATTTGAAGATGGAAACATTTAAAATAAAATTGTATAACTACTTACCTTTAAAGTTATCTAAAATTTATTTATTATTAATAATTTTTTTAGTTTTATAGTCAAACATGTTAAATGACTTTGTATAAAAATATTACCTGGTTGTTATACAATAAATATATACCATAAATATATTTTAGAGTAAATTAGACTAAATATATATTAAAAAAAATAGACTAAATATAAAATTTAATATGTTGGTAGTAGAGTTTATCCATCTAAGTTATCAATGATTTGTCTAACTAAAAATATCTTTTTACAAATTATTTTTTGAATGATTCGATATAACTTAGCTATTTAGTATATTGATATATAAGTAAAAAGTTCAAAGTTGAACAAGGTTGATGATTTAGATGATAAGAAATTAACCCATATACAAAGAGGTTTATCTTTATTCTTGGGAATTTTCGGAATTCAATTCACCTGAATTTTTATTTATTAAAAGTAATGAAAAGTTAGTGTGTTATTTGACCAACTTTATTATAGTGTAGATTTGTTTTGGGTACAATGGATATAATTATAATTTTATTTGGCAAATTTTTTGGTATCTAGAAGTTTTTAGTTGAGTATTCTTATTATTTGATTGAAAGAACAATATTTACTCAACATAATTCAAAAGGTACTAAGTGCTCTCCTTTTTATTTTCTCTTTTGATTAAAACTGTTAAAATTATATATATATATATATATATATATATATATATATATATATATATATATATATATATATATATATATATATATATATATATATATATATATATATATATATATATATATATATATATATATATATATATATATATATATATATATATATATATATATATATATATATATATATATATATATATATATATATATATATATATATATATATATATATATATATATATATATATATATATATATATATAAACTAATAAGTTTATTAATGTAATGAAAAGATTAATAAATTTATAACTTAATCAAAAGTAAAAATATAATACAACAATAATAATACTAAAGAAAACTATACTTATGTAAAAAAAAAAATCTTTTAAATTAATTATTATATATATTGTTAGGATTAGAGTGTGTCTATTTGACAAAACTCTATCAAAAATAAAGAGATATGAACGAATATATAAGAGAAAATTAACTTAAATTTTGTTTTGTTTTGAAAAAAATAAAGACAAAATAAATATATCTAATAAGTCGGATTCATTTTACAATCTCTATTATGAATTGCAATAAGTTAATTAAGTGAGAAAATTAACTTATATATGTATTATAAATTAATAATGATAAATATTTTATGAGTTACTCTGTGTGTAAAAAATTTAAATAACAATTATTTTAAAACAAAAGAAATATATTAAATAATTTTATATATATATATATATATATATATATATATATATATATATATATATATATATATATATATATATATATATATATATATATATATATATATATATATATATATATATATATATATATATATATATATATATATATATATATATATATATATATATATATAATCGTTCACAAATATAACTTTACACGTATTATAATGATATAAAATACATTTTATAATCTAACCATTGTAATTTTTGAGAATGTAAGAACTATTTACAAATTTCTTTTTAAGAAAAAACAAATTTTTGTTTTGGTCTCATTTAGAGAAAACGTTTTTAGAAATTTTTTAATAATTTAATTTTTTTTAATTTAGAAATATATCTTATATTAGTAATTTTACAAACTTAACCAATTAATAAAGGACACATTCCAACACTAAAGTGATTTTATGTTTACAATGGCACTACTTAAAACTTTCAAAAATCAAAATGATCACTCAAAATAACATTATATTTGTACAAGTAGACGTGGATTTTGATGGATATACACCAATAATCTTATCTCAATAATAACCCACTTTCCTAAATTAATTATTAAAAGTTCCCGACAAAAATCTACTATATTGTGCATATTCATAAAATTCATAAACGTTTAGGGTCTTAAATTAAATATTAATGACAACTATCTGTTTTTGTTGAAAAACTTAGAGTTTTTTTTTTTTTTTTTTACAATTATGTTGATGGCATTATAAATCCTTATTTTTTTTATTACAAAATGAATATTATGTTAATTTAGATAATTAAAAAAATGTTGAAAACTAAATATTCACTATTCCCCCAAAATTCTAGTCGTTAGTGAATCAGAAGCAAAAATCTAACAAATTCATAAAATTCATCTAAAGCCTCTATACATTAGGGGCATGTCTGAATATCCAATTTTTCAAAACATCCTTTAACACAAACAATTTATTGGTACTTTAGGTGCACTTAAACAGAAAAAGGTTAAAGATTTTATTCGTCTTTATCACTTCCATACATGGTGTTAAGTAGGTTCAAGATAAGAAATTTTTTTAAACTTCTTTTATATATATATATATATATATATATATATATATATATATATATATATATATATATATATATATATATATATATATATATATATATATATATATATATATATATATATATATATATATATATATATATATATATATATATATATATATAACAATTAAAACTAACCTGATAATTTTGAATGTGGTGTCTCAGATCTTTTACAGTTTAATCGAATGTGATTATGAATAGAATTTCAAGCTTTTGAAAAATTTCGTCGCAATTTTTGATTTTACTCGACTTGATATTAGCTTCCACCATCCGGCACATGAAAAAACCTAATAATAAAATATAAGTGATAATCAGTATATTAAGAGTAATAATACACAAAGTGGTGACCTAAAATGTGATGAAGAAATAAAGATTATGATGAGAAGAGGTTTCCATTTGCTTCAATTCAAAATGTTGTGGTAAAAGAGAATGGTGTTGGCGTAACAATCGGGGGGTCGAGCGAGGAGCATTTTAAACAGTGAGATATTTTTCTTAGAGCAGCACACTTTTATGAGAGACACATTACATATTCATCCAAAATTTTAAGGTGACAAGTGGGTGGGTTCTCTGACTTATAAATGCTTAAGACACCACATTCCTATCCAATGTTGGACTATTATCGACACCACATTCTTATCCAATGTGGGACTATTATCGACACCACTCATACTTATAATTATTTTTCAACACTCCCCCTCAAGTGTGAGTCTATGCTCCCCCTCAAGTGAAAGTTTTTTCTTCTACATACACACTTGTACCCCCGTTGACACTCTTCAACGGGACATTCAACCACATCTAGGACGCCTACCTATGTGGGATACTTTTGATACAAGTAAGTCGGTCCCTTTCTCGAACCAAATGCTATTGATACCATATGTTGGGGGAGTTTTTCAACTAGGGAGTATTGGTATTTTGTGGGACTTCTTTTCTTAAGCAACACACCTTTATGAGAGATACGCCACATATTCGCCCAAAACTCTAAGGTGATAGGTGGGTGGATTCTCGCACTTATTCATTAGGGTTAATTCTTATAGACAGCAAATAATTTATTAGATTGGTTTAAATTTAAATTCAAAAAAAAATTAATAACTTTAATTTTTCTCACCTATTTTTGTTTTATTAAATATCTCTCTTTTAAATAGTGTACATTAATTTAAATTATTTTGTCTTTTACTTCACAATTTTCTCCAACAATTAGTTTCTCTTACGCCAAACAGTTGAGTATTATTTTATATAATTTTTACATATATATAGACATATTATAATATTTATAAAAAAAATAATATAATATTTAAAATATATTTAATTTAAAATAATTTATTTTTGTTGTATTTATAATAAATATTATGGGCCGGGTAGCCCAAAGCCCGTAAAAAGCCCAGGGCCTAATTTTTTAGGCCAAATTACAACATGATTTTTTTGGCCAAACTCTATAAAACTTGAGACCTATCTAGACGGACTCGTTTAGGATGAGTATGCCATTTTGACAACTCTAATTAGGATGATTCGCATTAACATGAGAGACTTAACTACGTAAAATAGACATGACAACACAACTCATATTCGCGGGTACCAAACCGAATCCGCCTGAATTTGACGAGAAAAATCCATTTTAATTGGGTTTGGGTTTAAGTTTTTTCCGATTATAAAATATAGGGAAGAGTCGAGTAATTGGATAAGAGTACATATCTTGAATCCGTCATTGTACCCGCCTATTTATTTTATTATGTAATTTATTATTTTAATTTTGATAATTTAGAATATTAAATACGTGGTTAATATTTTAATTTTTTATTTGTATTTATTATTTAAAATATTTGAAATGTATGCATGAAATTTTTCGAGATTTTATTATTTTATTATTTGTAATATAATTTAATTTTAGAAAATAAATATTTTATTAAAAAAATTGATTTCGCTATGGCATAGTGAGGATATCCGGACTCAACTCATATCTATTGAAGATAAATTTGAGTTTTAATTCTCCATCTCTGATGAGAATTGGATTGGAGAACGAGAATTATTTTAAAATTCAAATTTAAGTTTGAAAAAGTAAAAATCATCTCTAATCCATTTCGTTGTCATGTCTAATATAAAAGAGTGAGATCAATTAGGGTAACTTTTTAAATAATTTGTTTTTTAATTTGATATCATAACACTTAAGTTTAAAGGCTCCTCGATCCACAAAACAATCATGTCCTCATAAAAATGAGCTTCCCACAAATGTTTTTGTCAAGTTGAACAAGAACAACTATCCTCTTTAAAATTCTCTAGTCTTACCATTAATCAAGGGATGTAAGTTTGAAAACTACATGTTGGAGACAAAGAAATATCATGATGAAATATCAAAAAATAAAGCAAGTGCTGTTAGAAAAATATAAAATGAATGAATATAAAAATTAAAGAAACTGTATATTTTAAAAAATTACTTTGGAATATGTGAGATTTTATAGTTTAAGTTTATAATTGGGATACTTCACAT